TAAATCAAGGAATTGTGTCTGATGACAAGTATGTTACTTCAACTCAAGCAAATGTAAGTGGAACATTTTGTGCAAATCAAGGAATTGTGTCTGATGACAAGTTTGTTACTTCAACTCAAGTAAATGTAAGTGGAGCATTTTGTTCAAATCAAGGAATTACCTCTGACGTTAACAATATTACTTCAGCTCAATATTCTGGTCACAATGGTTCAACTACAGTACTGATGCATTCTGCACGTGAAAATCATGTTCTTCGTAATACCACCCCAAATGCTGGCATACTGGCACATAATTATGACAGTCTACAGCATCCTAATTCCTTAGGAACCACATATGTTGTAAATACTACCTTGCCGAAATGCACTCCTAGTGTTTTCTGTTCTCATAATCAACAAAGCGTCATGCCTGAACCAAACCTTAATGCACAATCACATTTCATGGCTCAAGTGGGCCATCCGCTACCTGTTACTTCAAATGTACCATGGTATATGCCAGGAAACATCTACGCATCAACCCCAATTCAACCAAGAATGGTTTTGAACCAAAATGGCGAACCCTACCGTCAAGATGCCATAGACCCTTCTACACAGCTTAGTGCCACAATGATCGAGAAACTGACAATTGGAATGGATTCAATTGTGGCTCGTTCCAACTTACTCACCACTTAATGCTGTTAAGTTTAGTGGTGAACCACATGCCTATCACCGCTTTAAAGTACGCTTCCATGAAATGGTATCTTCACAGAATATCTCAGAGTCGCAAAAAATGTCTAGACTGTTGCAGTTCCTCGATGGTGAGGCCAGGAAAGCAGTGGCTAGTTATGAAGGAGTCGAAGGAGGCTTACAGATAGCACTTCATGTTTTACAGCAACGTTTTGGCCAACCCCACATGGTTGCAAAATCATGTGTTGACACCTTGGTAGATGGCCCAAACATATCAAATAATGACACTCGTGCACTACGAGAATTTGCTGATAAGTCAAGATCGATGTATGAAACCCTAAAGTCAATGAGAGCGCTCTCTGAAATGAACATGACAAACTTATCAAGGATGTCCACTAAATTACCTATCCCACTCCAAGTAAAGTGGAGGGATAAGGCGCAGCATCTTAGAGCAAGGGGAGAAGTACCTTCAATTAAGGAACAACAATCTGATGCAGCCAATGATCCTGTCTTTGGCAAAATTGGCGAGTCTCACAAGAGCTATCCAAAACCACCACCTAAGCTTCCTGCTCGAAAGGGGCCTTCAATTCCCACTGTATCACCAGGGGGATCAAAGGTTACAACAATGACTACCCAAATCGAACAAAACACTCAAAGTCAAAGTAGCACGATTTGTAACAAGGCGAATATCACTTCTGAGTCATCTATTGAATGCTATATTTGTGGAATGGCACATACAATTGAGAAGTGTTCTGAGTTTTCAGAAAAATCAGTGCGTCAAAGAAGTGTTATTGCAAGACAGAAAGGACTTTGTATGAACTGTTTGAGAAAGGGACATTTTGTGGCTCAATGTAAATCCAAGTTTCGGTGCAAGGAATGTAAACAAACACACCATACTTTACTGCACAGACCAAGTGAAGGTAACAGTGAAACCGTGAACAATCCATCTAAATCAGACCAATCGATTAGTGCAAACGCTACAACGTGTTCAACCACAAAAATAGCTGAGACAAATAATTATGCAAACGCACGTACCAAGAACCGTATTGCTCTTCAAGTTGTGCCTGTACAAATACAGGGTAGTAATAACAGCAGTGTAACTACTTACGCACTCTTGGACACTGGGAGTGAGGACACTCTTGTATCAAAGAAGGTTTTCGACAGACTCGGACTTTGCATAGAGAACTATGAAGATATACATGTTCGTACTCTTAATGGGGAGTCAAAGGTGAAAGCAGGACTTGTCAGCTTGGAGATTAAGTCAATTTCTGGAGAGCATGACAGTACCGTAAAAATTAATGATGTGAAGGTAATCAAGGACTTGACAATTAACACTTGTAAACCAAAAGACTTGTCAAAATGGCCACACTTGAAGGACATTGTTATTCYTGATGTTGACGAAAGTGAAGTCACAATGCTTATTGGTGTCAATGTTCCTCAAGCACACATTCAAATTGAACAACGCGTTGGAGGACAAGGTGAACCGTATGCAGTTAAAACTGTWCTTGGATGGGCAGTTCTTGGACCAGTAAGCAGTGTTAACAATTACCAAGCATCTATGGTTAATGTAAATTATTTGAAATATGGAACTGAACTGACTGACCAACAAATGAGTCAGTTTCTAAGATGTGCGAACAAACAAAACGTGGTACTTACCACACCACGCGGTTTTCCATCCACAAAAGAAGGACAAGATTCGCGTGGTTGAATCACTTCCTGATGCAACGTACAGCAAACCTTCCACCAGGAGTATTTGTGGAAAACGATCAATACTCGCGAAAGCAATGGAGAAAGATTCAGTATTTGACTAATCTGTATTGGCGGCGCTGGCTACGCGAGTACTTACCTAATCTTCAACGCAGGTCAAAATGGTTAACTTCAAAGACAAATATCAAGGTTGGTGATCTAGTGCTTATTATAGACGAAAACAGTGCTCGTAACAAGTGGCAAATGGCTAGAGTTCTAGAGATATTCACCGGAAGGGATGGAAGAGTACGCTCTGCTACTGTGAAGACAGCAAACGGAAGTCTTCATCGACCAATAGTGAAGTTATGCTTATTGGAGAGAAGCAGTGAAGAAGAATAAGAATTCGTTTTGTAAAGGATATTAAGAACGCTTAACATTAATTCGTTCAATTTATGTTGACATTTATAGACACTCGTTTTGAATGACACAAAGATCCACCTATATGTATACAGAGAAACTCATTTGCTTATCATATTTCGCTTTTTTGCTGCGAAACAGGAATCCACGAAGCTCTATGTGCTCTATGTAAGTTCACTGGGCATGACCCGGTGTTCAAGGAAACATAAACCAAGTGTGTGTAAACAACTCATTCAACCTGATTTCGTATCGTGCTTTAAGTACAGTAGTTGGAATATCGCGTTTATTTGTTTCTTGGGTATTGCGAGGTTTAAGTTTAAGTTTTTTAAACATCAAAATCTGATTCACGACTTTCAAAACTGGCGCGATATGCCGTCACAGTCGCTGGGGACGAAACTATTAAACATGTCTTCAAAAGCCATAATAAACTTCCATGGTGTTTCTCAAGAGTGTTTTGTTTAAGAAATATAAAACAGCGCGCGTGTCTCTGTCCTCTGATATAAACACGGTGGGAGTTGTGGTGTTCTCTTCTTTATTGGTTAAACTATTAACATAACCTTATACATGTAGTTCACAAGTTGCCTCGTGTCGTCTTGTCGCTAGCTTTTCCTCGTGGGCCAAAAACCCATAATGCACTGGGGTCACGACAGGAGTTCGAAAAACACGAGAGAAAGCAAGCTTAGGAATACTCACACCGTGTTTATATCAGAGGACAGAGACACAAGCGACCGTTTTATATTTCTTTTATAAAATTTTTCGAGCGAAAAAAAAATTTTGCCGGTAAGCCGTRTCTCTGTCCTCTGATATAAACACGGTCGTCAGCCAATCAGAGCGCGCGTTATATATCAAAAATTTTATAATTGTATATAGATAACATTCCAATGCATCTTTCGAACTTTTGGAAACTACCTATTATGTGATCTTCCTAGTGATTTCTAGATGTAAGGCTTTTGAGGTCTCRTTTCCATGATTCGTCACTAGTCCCCCRATATTGACGGTCGTGGATTCCGCCATTTTTGAAAGTCGTGTTTATCGCTGTAAAACAACCAACATATTTGATTATAACTCTATACTAAAATTCCTTGATGATAATCTGAATGTTTTGCCAGCATCTTTATGGTGTTCACTTGTGCTTGACGAAAGACAGCTATTATCTCGCT